ATGCCGCGGAGTGGCTGGGCCCGTGAGCCATGGCCGCTGAGCCTGCGCGTCCGGAGCCTGTGCTCCGCAACGGGAGAGGCCACAACAGTGAGAGGCCCACGTACCGAAAAAAAAAAAAAACAATCTGTGGGATTTCTAGATTGTGCCAACAGCATGGCAGACTCGAAAAGCATATCTCCAGTCAGTAAATAGGAGCATTTTTTTCCTCTTGTCAGCGTGCAAGCTCTAGTGAGATCTGTAAGCAGCCCAGGCTGATTTTACAGTGGCAAAGGGTACACCTCAAGCATTTCATGTGGGAAAACAGTTATTATGTTTTCCCAGAAATTGTATCTACAAGAGCCATCACAAAATAGAAGTAAGTCTGGGCTGTCTAAAGGGGGCATCTAAGAGGTCTTCTCCTTGCTTTGAGGCCATTTATATATGTAGTTGCAAGGCAATCACGTGGAATGGACTGAGGCTCTCTGTCAGCCGGGGGGTGGTAGAGTAGCCAGATTTAAAGTGTTACAACAATGTAGGATGACGGAGGGATTGCGATTAGGGCTTATTCATAGGTGGTCTGCCACCATGTAGAGAGATGCTGTCTTACGAACTTGTAAGAGAGTATGGGGAATATGCTTATTCTTACATTAGGCATGTACTGTAAGAGTACTGGCTTTGTCGTTTAGGGCAGCAGCTGAGGCTACAACATGCAGGCATGGGGCATCCTCCCTGCCGCAAGGTCCAGCTGACATGAGAAATATTCTTTTTTTTTTGCGGTACGCAGGCCTCTCACTGTTGTGCCCTCTCCCGTTGCAGAGCACAGGCTCCGGACGCGCAGGCTCAGCGGCCATGGCTCACGGGCCCAGCCACTCCGCGGCATGTGGGAACTTCCCGGACCGGGGCACGAACCCGTGTCCCCTGCATCGGCAGGCGGGCTCTCAACCACTGCGCCACCAGGGAAGCGCCATGAGAAATATTCTTTAGGACGTATGAGAGGTTAAAGGTTGTCCTGCAGCAATCCCATTGTTTTTTCATGGCAATATCGGTGAAAAGGTTTGTGAAAATTAAATAAGCGAAGAGCCGGGGGTGTGGACCATGTTAATTTTAAGGCTTCAGAGGAAGTTAATGCCTCTAGGGGCCAGGAAATATCCTCTGAGGTAGTATCTGGAGGAGAGCATATAGGGGTTTAACAAGGGCAGAGAAGTGATGAGCCCATTGGCGGCAATAGCCAGCTGCCCCTGGAAATTTATGCAGCTGCTTTGCTTGTTTTGGGAGAGGGGATGAACGAAATTGATTCAAGGCATTTTAGAGAGAGCTTTTGAGTGCCCTGAGATATTTCCTGTCCTAAGTAGGTAACGGTTATTTGCACCCATTGAAGTTTAGACTGGGAGCTTTATGCCTCCTTCAGCCAGTGCCTTTAGAAGGACGGAGTCTATAAGAGCACCCTGTTCAGTCTGGTTACGGAGTGAAAGGTCACCAACATATTGAATAAGAGTGGAACCTTGGGTCAAGGCTACAGAATCTAAATCAGCTTTAAGGACTGGGAAAAGTATTAAGGGAGACCCACACTATCCCTGAGGTATGGAAGTCCATGTCAATCATCTTCCTCTAAATGTAAATGCAAAAAGAAATCGTGGGTCAGAATGCAATGGAACCGAAAAGAAACCTGAGCAGATATCAACTACTGTAAACCAGGCTTCATCAGCAGGAACTGAGGTGAGAATGGTACCCGGATTAGGACTATGGGGTGGAGGAATTACAAAGGAGTTTGAAGCTCTTAGATCTTATGCAAACCGATACATTTAATTTCCATTTGAATCAAATTTCCCTTCTTTCTTTACTGGCAAGATTGGGGCGTTATAGGGTGAGGAAGTAAAGATAAGGACACGCTGATATAAAAAAGAGTCTATTATAGGTTTAATTCCTCACTCTGCATCTCCTGAGAGGGGCTACCAGGCCACCGATGGGAAAGGTTTGTTCCTTTTCCTGGCTCTGCACAAGCTCTGTGCTCCATAGCAATCCAATCTCATTTGCATGTGAAGCCCAGAGACTAGCTGGGACAACTTTAAGGTTGCCTCCTCTTCAGAGGATTTAAATTGAGATGAGATTTCCTTAGGGAAAGTAGGAAGCTTGAGGTTTAGTCTGAGGGCAGGGGGAAAGAAAACTGCCTTTTTATTACATTGTATGGTGGCATTAAAGTTACATAACAAATCTCTACCTAAAAGATTTGCTGGTGAGGAGTCAGAAATTAGAAAAGTATAATGGGAGTTGAGAACCTAAGGATATTGGGGTGGCCTGAGATGTGGACAATGGAACAGGCTGTCCAGGGACTCTGACACCTAGAATAGAATCAGAGGTGACAGGTAGTATTAAACCCTCTGAGCAGATGCTAGAGAGACTCACACCAGTGTCAATTAAGAAGTCCAGCTTCGAATCCTCTATTTTAAGTTTAATAGTGGGTTCTGCAGTGTGACTGAGGATTGGCTGACCCTGTCAGTTGATGGAGTATTTATTGTCCCAGAGGAAGGAAGAAATGAACCTTCTGATGGTGCTGGGGCTTAGAGAAAAGGTTATTTGAGCTTTTTTTCTTTTAAGTTAAGGATAATTGTCCTTCCGATGTCCTGGCTTCTCACAATATCTGCAAACACAGGGAAGGCTATGTGACTGGTGAGAAAAATGAGTGGACTTTGAGTTACCCTTAGAGTCATCATTTTTGTTTTTGTAATGACTCAATGTGCCCATCAAGGTCTGTTCATTTTAGTTTCTTTTTTGTCTTGTTTTCCTGCGTGCTATTTACAAAGAACTATGTAGTTGCTTCTATAATAATGTTAAGAGACCGAACTGCCCAGCCAATGACACTATTTTGGATTTATCTTTCTATATCAGAGAGAAGATTTCCAACCAAGGCAGAAATTAAAAGATGTTCTAGACTCCAGAGTTTACTGCAGCATGCCTTTGCAAAGTCTATATAAAGCGTTCTACCAACGTTTTAAGATGTTCCTCTTTCTCTGAGCACATAATTCAACCTGAGACCAATTTACCTTAGAGGGAGGCCTCCATTACCCCCACATCAGGCCTTGAATGTTGGTCTGGCTGAGCCTTTTCCTGTTATTTGCAGGAGGGCCTGGGAGATTCTGGTCACCTGTTTCCTCTGGGGAAGTGTTGGGGGAGGATTTCCCACCTGAGGCCATCTAGCCTGATAATTACAGTATAATCAAGGGTGGAAGAATGTCCTTTAATAGCCAGTCCAAGTCCCTAGAGTGGGGCTGTGAAAGGCCACTAATCTTTTTAGAGTTCTTCTCTAAATTTGGTAGAATCTTCTGAAAGTGGTGGCAAAAAGGCTTTGGAATTTAAAAGATCTGGTGCTGTCCAGGGAAGCCAAATTCTTTGCTGTGGAGGTCCAGGATGCATCTTCATGGGACACTGCACAGGAAGGCCTAGAGATGACTGAGTTTAATTACAGAGCCCAGGGAAGTAAGAGGGGTTGTAAAGTACCGCAAAGTGATCCCGGCTGTGAGCTCCTGGAGCCTGTGCCAGATTTATTTCCTGGCTATCAGTGTTTATACAAATAACCTGTATATTCCAGGCCTGAAGATCAGGCTACAGCGCTTCCTGTAAATCTTGCAGGGAAGGGCAACTTAAAGCAGGTATCTGGGTGTTTAAGGGATTTGGGGGGGGGGGGTAGTTGGAGCAGTTTTGGGGGAAAGTTGAAGGAATTTGCTGAGGAGATGGGGCCAGATTTTGAGGACAGGGGTTTGAGGCAGGGGGTCCACAGATCCAATATATCTGTGGTCAGGGACAGGTAGATGGAGATAAAGGGAGTATAGGTGGGTAGAGAAGGAAGATTTATAGTGGGTATGGATTTTAACTTTTGTTTTTAAACCTGTTTTCTGTTCTTTAATCTTTTTAAGGGAGTCTCTAAGGCTAGCCGATAAAATCCGTTGTGTCCTCTTTTTAATTTGATCTTCCCATAGAAACCAATGGGATATTTGTTTAGGATGAGAGCTCTGTAAAATTTTTTTGAATAACGAAGTTTTTCCAATTCAAAGGATCCATCATCTGGTTATTGACAAATATGATCTTCAAGGGTATGTTTATTTCAATAGCAACTCAATCCAATAAGCCTTTTTATGGAAAGACCAGAGGTAATTTTCTAGGCACAGACACAAGACACATCCCCAAAGCAGGTCTAGAAGATGCAGCCCGCAAAATCCAAGAAGTTTCACTCTAAGAAAGCAGAGATCCTCATTGTCACGGGAGGTAAGAATAGCGTTTGTGAAAATTGTGACTCCAGTCTCCCACAAGAATTTGAAATTCCTCTAGTCGCAGACCTACTAGTTTGTGACACTGGGTAGGCGATACTAGGAAGTGGCTTTCCCAGCACTAGGGAGATAAAGGTCCCTTATGGACTGGGATCCTTTATTAAGACAAAATCCCTGAAAGCTGTCATGGTTGGACAAAGAGACTGCTGCATGTCACTTCTTGTCTTGGGTTCCCAGCCTGTGGGCAGGTCACTTGAGACAAACCCAACTGGCAGAGACCAGAGAGAATATTCTCACTGGTCACAAAGCCAAGCTCTCAGGACATAAAACAACACGAAGAGAGAATCTGATCCAGCTGTTGTTGTTTTTATCTGTGACCCACAGCAAAGCTTGTCTAAACAGATGCTGATCTGGTGAGAACTATAAACTAGTCAGACTGTGAGGCCAGCTCAAACAACAGCCTTGTCAGACCTATACCTCTGTTTTACCCTATGAATCTCCCCTTTATGACAAATGACATAGAAACAGAGACAAAGGAAAACTATCTCTGGGAGGCAGGAGATCAACAGAAAACAAGAGTACTCCAAACAGAAAACATTAGAGGTGCTATGCACAAAAAACTAGTTCACACCAATGGTTTTCCCTGCCAATCTGAACTTGAAAAGGGAAAAAGACAAAGGGAGACTCATCCCTCTCGCCCTCCCACCCAGACCCTACAGGTGGAGATTTGGGAGGCAGTGACATAGTAAGAACTCTTACCAACTTCCAGCGTTTGTCAAATGTCCCAGGATCTCTCAGCTTCAGCCCTGAGAGTGATAAGCAGTGACCCAGTCAGTGCTATCCCATCTTCACTGCCAGAAACGGTAGGGGAGGCAAACGCTGTAGGGGAAACATAACTAAAATGAAGAGACCAAAGGAAGATAAGAGTTATTTTAACAAGGTCTGTTAGTACAGAAGTTTCCTGGCCTTGACTCTCATTTCTGGTGATAAGAATATTCCTTTCCTCCTGGCACAGGGAGGGCAGCTCTCACATGGGAGTTTTAACTTCTGTTTTCAGGAATAAAAAGGGAAATCAAGTACCTTAATTTCACCTGCTGTTTTTCAAGTGATTTCAACTCAAAATAATCAATATGTCAAGGTGGCATATTCTGGGGTGACATGTCCGGAAATCCCTTCACTTTTCTTCCTGTGTATGTATGGTCATACCTTCCTAAGCTTTTTTTTTTTTTTTTTTGCATGTAATTTTTTAAATTGGAAATTTTTAGATAATATATTGCAGCAACTCTGGATTCTTATCCCCTCCGGGGTAGTTGTTGTTGCTGATTTTTTTTGTTTCTGTAATGGCTTGCCTGGATTAACTCTGTAGAGTCTGTCTTCCCGGCAGTGTGTAGCCACTGACGCCTTTGTTCAGGGTATTTTTTTGTTTTTTATTTAATATACTTTTGTTTTATTTTTAAGTCTGACTCCCTAGGGGTCAGCCTAACTTAATGGTCCGTCAATGATTGATTAGAGGTTGTACATAAACATCTTGAACCAGTAAGGTTTCCACCCTTTGCTGTGAAGTTGTGTGTGTTTAAGGAATGTCATCAAAGTTCAGGCAGTTTACAGTCTGCTCTAGCTTATTCTTTCTGCATACTCAAGACTTCACATTCATCAGGGACAAGTAGATAGCCAGGGCCCTATCTGGTCTTTCCTCTGTGAGTGCATGTCATTGAGCATGTGTACACCTGCTTCCAAATCACCAGGGCTAAGTGGATACTTCTGAACCCCTCTATCACTCTCTTGATCTCTGGATTTCCCTTTTAATTTTCTAGCTGGTCTGTCAATCTCTCACTTGCCCAAGCAGTATTGACACCTCAGGCAGCCTTCTTAAATTGTTTGCTATTATCCCTGGATTCTCCTGTTATCATTTTTGACAATGCCCTTGTGTATTTGTGCTTCTCTCCAGAGCAAATCAGCCCCCTCTAGTAAGAAGGCTGCGATTCCTCACAGCTTGCCTGGCCCTTATAAAAGTACTGAATAGCAGAGCTGGGTGGGGAATGGCAGAAACCCCAGGATAAAATGCACAGACTCCCAGTATTCTTAATGATGCTTAGTTTCTCTTGAATAAATGCTTCTCAATTAGATAGATGCCTTTGGTCAATTTCCAAAATCCTGGAATGGCTGTTTTTAACAGCTTTGTCTGATTTTGTATTTGCTTTTTAGGGAGAGGGTTTGCCTACCGCCTCACTCAACCTTTCCAGAAGTCCCACCTCACATTCAAAATTTTTGCTTTGGGCCAGAGGTCATTGTAACGTTTCATTATGACATGTGAAAAAGGGAAAGATATGCAAGACTTATGAACAAGCTTATGAATGAGGAGATACATCATATTTTTTTAATAAAAAGATTCAATATCAAAAACATTGAACTATAGATAAAATGAAATTCCAATTAAAATATTGAAACAGGAGGGAAGGGGGCAGGGCCCAACCTTTGAGAGAATGACATAGCCAGAGGACATGACATGAACTGATTAGAGCCAAATGGGTCCAAGATGGCAGACAAGTCGACTTCCATTAGACCTTGAGCCTCAGTATACGCTCACTGTAACACATCAGTAAGCTAAATGACACATCCACAGGCACCATGACAGTTCCAAGACCAACCATAAGGATCAAAAAGTGGGCGGTGGCCCAATTCCTGGAAATCCCCACCCCTTCCTGAAATAGCTGGAATACTCCTTCCACTCATTAGCCTATGAAATTAGGCACCCCTATAAAAACTGACAACCCCATACTCTGGTGCTTTTCTCACCTTCTGAGATGGCCCACACTCTGTCTGTAGAGTGTGTTTCTCTCTAAATAAATCCACTTCTTACCTATCACTTTGTCTCTCACTGAATTCTTTCTGCGATGAGACATCAAGAACCTGAGCTTCATTAAGTCCTGAAACCAGGTGTGTGACCCCAGTTGGAAGACCTCAATTGGAAGACAGTTTTGACTGGGTTTGAATCCTAGCTGTGTGGATTCAAGTCCCAATCAGGAGTTTGGCTGGATTCAAGTCTCAATCTGAAGTGCACGGTTTCCATATCAGTGGGGTTCTTGATGGAACATGATTAGACAGTGTAGATATTGACACAGGAATAAGCCAATGGTAGAGGTCAGAAAGGCTACAAACAGATTGTGTAGGCAGAATTCTACGAATGACTCCCCTTGGACCGAGGTAGAATATGAAATGTCCTTTCCATGATTACATTACATTATATGAAAAAATAAAGATTATCTAGGTAGGCCTGGTCTAATCAAATGAGCCCTTTAAAAGTAAAGAATTTTCTCTGGTTGGTGGAAGAAGAGAAACTCAGGGATTGGAAGGCCGAGAAGAATTTGACATGGAATTGCTGACTTTGAAGATGGAGGGGGCACAGGACAAGGAATGTGGGTGGCCCTGAGCTGCTGAGAGTGGCCCCAGGCTAACAGCCAAGGAAATGGGGACCTTACTCTTATAGCCTCAAGGAACTGAATTCTGCCAACAACCTGAATGAGTCTGAAAGCAGATTATTCTCCAAAACCTCCAGATAAGAGCCCAGCCCAGCCAACTCTTTGATTTCGGCTTTGAACCCAGCCGAGGCTGCCTAGACTTCAGATCTACAAAGCTGTGAGATAATAAGTGGGTGTTGTTTTAACCTGAAAATTTTGTGGTAATTTGTTATGCAGCAATAGACAACTAATACACAGCCCTATATTTATACAAGTATTTGATAGATGACAGAGCTGGCTTTGCAGATTCTTGGTGAAAGGAGATCTCTTCAATGAGTAATTCTGGGACAAATGGTCATACATATAGAATACAAAAAGGTTGGATCTCTACCTCAAAATGTGACAAGCAAATAGAAATTTTCGATGTAAGGAATTCCTTAATGAAAGATGTAAAACACATAAAACGATTGAAAATTCAAGTATGCAAAAAATTTTAAATTCTATTTATCAAAGGTCAACATTGAACAAAGAAAAAAGAAGGAAAGGACAAGAAGTCTGAAAAGCAGAAGTGTACAGTGTCTCAAGAGTTCCGAGAGAAGCATGTTTGTAGAAAGGAAGTTGCCATCTTTGTTGAATTCTACTGAGGGGGGAATTCGAGGAAGACAGAAGAATGTGCACTGGATTTGAAGACACAAGGAACACTGATGACCAGAACAAGAGCATTTCAATGGAGTAGGAGGAAACCCAGGGTAGTGCGCTGACAGCTGTGTCTCTTGTTCATCACCCTTCCAGAAAACGCCACACCTTCCTAGATGCCTAAAACGCCCTATCACTTGCATATTCACAGCTCTCCTAAAATATCTGAACATGGTAGTGACAGGTTCTATTTGGCTTTTATTCTGTAACAGAACAAGTAGAATTATGATCTGTATCATGATTTACTTAGCTGATATCACATGCTTTTGAGAATTCTATCATTTTTCTGACATTTCTTCATCTCCAGCAAGATGAGAAAGAGAGAAACCATAACAAAATTGTGGCCATCTCTACAGTCAAAATAGGTCTTAGTTGTTTCTAGTCAAGCCGAACTTTCTGGAGGGTCAAGGGATGGAAATTTGAGGTGCATTTTGCCGTGCTAAAATCTTACACTATATGTATATATATATGGTGTAAAAACCCTGAAATTAATCCCCCCCTTCTTCCTCTCATTGTACCTTGCAATGTTGACTCAACTGGTCATTTTGACCCCACTAATTCAAAAAAAAAAAAAAAACTCAGGGTAAGGGGGCGCAGGGGATGGGACAGAGGCCCAGTCGTGTGCTCCCTAGGGACTGGTTGTATCTCAAACCATGGAATCTTGAAAATATTCCCCTTCCTCAAAATTATTCTCCTCCAACCAAAATAGCTCCTAAACTATAGAAGCTCTGGATGTGCAAAAGGATTTCAAGATTTCACTAATGAAGATTATAATTAAAATATTTAAATGGGTTTTTAATTTTCTTTCTGGGCTATGCTATTTCCTAGTCCTCTCGAGAAGCTGCTATTGTTCAATCCTGACAGAATTCTCTGTTAGAAATTATAGGCTGCTGCCTTTCAGCATCTTCATTAAAATGCAATGCTGCCAGATATATCTGCATGCATATGAATGAAGCATCTATAGAATAATTAAGTCATGAATAACACATTGCTGAGCATGGCTTTTCCTGAATAGGGAAAGACTATTATTTATGAACCCAGAGATTTTATATTATATGAAAAAATAATTGGCAATAACAAGTATTATTTGAAGACACATTAATTTAAATTATGATTGTCCTTCTATAGACTCCATTTTTAATAAAACGGCATTTACATTAGAAAATGGATGTGAATCTATGTGCCATTTTTCTTTATTTTGTTCAAAAGGCCACCTGAAAGCTTTTTGGCAATGGGAATTGCATAATTTGAGAATCTTGAGATCTTTTACAAACAAAAGGTCATTAGCATCACAGCAACATCATAGGCCTGGGTTCAAACTAATAGCTACATATCAATGGAAAAACGTAGATACTGTTCACAAGCACACTTAGGCTTTTTCAAGGAACACTGTGGAAGCAAAAGCTGAGCTCCCCTGAATCCACCCCTCCCCCATGCAGTGTGTTTGAATCTAGAAACAGTTCTTTTCCCAAAGCCCCAGTTTAGCAATGACCACATTCTAAAGTTAAACTGTGCTGTAGTTTCAGCACTGCTTAATGTTTAGCTCTGGGCTCTCCTGAGACCTTTAGCCACGGTGCACTGCGTGCTAAAGTCCAGAGGCAGAGGAAGAATAAGTGAGAAGACATGAGAAAGACCAGAGAGGGAAAAAGGATGCAAGGCTCAAGGTGAAAAGAGAAAGGAAACATCTCTTCCTTCTTGACCTCCCTCAGTTCCCTTGGTTGAGTC